CTACTTTTTGCCGCCCCCCCCCCAAAAAAAAATGTTTGAGCCCCCTTGGGAAGGGGGTAACGGACCCCAACTTTTTTTTCAAATGGAAAGAACCCTTTTGGGGTACCTCGTTCGAAAGAGCATGAAAAAGAAACATTTTCGCGCAAATCCAAAGTCATTATCTTAAACCATTACAAGATGGCAGCCGGTTATCGTTCAAGATGGCCGAAAATTGGCACCGCTTGTTTGTCGATGGATTTGCCTGAAACTCGGTTCGAAAGCGTATTTTAACACGAAAGAAACGAATTTGACGTTAGATTTTCCAAAAAATCAACATTTGTCAAAATGGCGGTTGGTTGGAGTTCAAAGTCGCCGAAAATTGGCATCTCGGTTTTTTGCCTATGGATTTGCCTGAAACTTGGAACCTAGAGGTGTTTTGGCATAAGATTAACAAATTAAAAATTATGTTTCTGTAAAAAAAAAAAAAAAAAAAAAATTCGGCCATTTTGAACTTCTATCAGCCGCCATTTTGAAAATTTTGGTTTTTTGAAAATTTATCGTCAAATTCGTTTTTCTCGTGTTGACATATCCCTTAGAACCGAGTTTCAGGCAAATTCATCGACAAAAAACCTAGGTGTCAATTTTCGGCCATCTTGAACTTTGACTGGCCGCCATTTTGAAACGGTTTGAGATATTGACTTCGAGTTTGCGCGAAAAGATTTCTTTTTTATGCTCTTTCGAATCAGGTATCACATGAGGGGTCTTCCCGTTTGAAAATAAAAAGTTGGGAACCGGTCCGTTTTAAAGTTGTAAAACCGGAAGTTATGGGAACCGGGTTTCCGTACCTAATTTCCTGAGGGGGCAAAGGAGGGGTTGCGATTTGGGCCGAAATCGGCCCCTCCACGGAATTGAATAATTTTTGAATAATTGGCAGTTGACGGTGCGTATATGACGGAAATAATCGAGTTTTGCCGATACTCACGTTTTTTGGCTGCGAAACAGGGGCCTAAACATGGCTCCGTGGCCTAAAATAGCTGAAATTTCACGTTTTCCGCGGTTCTACCTCAGATTTCGACCTGGGCCCTAAGACGACGGGTGATGAGCTTCGAATATGGTGTCTGGGACACCTAGACACGTAACATACTTGAATATGATCAACCGTCGCCTTTGGGCCCAACCTCAAAATCGAACTTTTCAGAGGAGAGAATAGACTCAACAAAACAGGAGAGAATCTCAAATGCAACGAATGAACCCGGGTGTTAAAACTACCAATCATACGCTGAATTGTGAACTTTGACCCCCAAAATGGAGGGTAAAACTTTGAGATGGGAAAAATGCTCATTGACACTCTTGATCAGCAGGGTAAGACCTACAACATATCAAAAGATCAGCCGATTTAACCGGGCCCACTTTTCCTGTAAGGTTGGACCGTCGTCCTTTAAAGCGAAACATTTTTTCATTAATTCGGAGAGTGACTCCGGACTCGAACTTATCAAAGATGAAATGTCGTCTCATGTAATGTTACAAAAATTCAATTCTCTCTATGGTGTGCAGGATATCCAAAAGAAACTGATCGTTCAAAGACAATTGTTGAATCTAAAACTTTTGGAAAATACAGATCCAAGTCAGTTTTCCGCCACCTCTGATAAACTTGTCAGTGACGAAAAAGCGACAGGCGAAGTTGTGTCACAGAAATCAAAACTTGCCATGCCGCACGCACGCAACAAGTTAACGCGGGCCCGAAAGTTCCCGTTGCAACGCATCATTTTGAATTGGCCTGGCTACACTATTAAGTGAAAAGACAGGTGGAATGTATACCTAAATACATCAAAAATTTTCGTTGTAATATATTGGATATATGTAGGAACATCGACTTCAACAAGTAAACTTATTCAACGTTAGACAACTAAGTTGAATATTCAAGAATTTACTTAAATTAAAGGTTTAGAGCCTCAAATGATTATCAGACATGTTTGTGGATTTTTATGTGGTTTTGTTGACTTTGGCTGCAACTTGTAAAATATCGTGAAAATGAAGCTCTTGTTTTTGTTAAGAGTTGGCGATATAAGTACTGACCCCTTTGTGAAATTTCGCGTGAAACATGATCGTAACTCTAGTTTTCTCTGAAACAAACCCCAAAACGAAAAAAAAACTCTTAAAGTGGAGGCAGTAATGGAGGAGGTATCTATCCGCTATCCTGAGAGTTCACCTCTGTGTCAAACCAAACTTTCAAGGCAAAGATAAGGAGCAAATGAATTAGCAGGGTTGTCTTGTTTTCAGTTTTGGAGTCCCCAAACAAAGTGGCAACCCTGTCGATGCATTTGCTCCCCTCCTTTGTAAGGAGAGTATGAATTGATACAAAGGTGGACTCTGAGGATAGCGTTGGATATCCCCTCCATTATGACATCAGCTTTGAGAGCTTTTTTTAGTTCTGGAGCTTCCTTCAGAGAAAACCGGTGAAACCATCGTATTTCTCGCATTGTACATAGTAATCAGCACTTAAATCGCCAACTCCTGAAACATACAAGAGGGGAATTATTTCTAAACGGGACCTTTGAGGTTAAAAAGTCAACTCAACTTGTGCGCAGTAAAATTTTGTGCACCGAATAGGAAAACCTTCAATTTTAGGAAATGAATAAATTTTTTTATATTTTTTTTGCTTTTCATTTCAAGTTCCTAGATTTGCAAGATTTTCCAGATTTTCTAAAGGCATGTTCGGATCAGTGATTTTTAAGGTTATGTTTGGATCAATTTTTATTCAATACATATTGCATCTTAAAGATTTACAACCACTTGGAGTTATAGTCAAGTTCCTCAACAATATCAAACAGCCTTCAAAGAGCATGAAAGGTCAAATATATCCAATATTTTTCATCATTTAGTGAGGGTATGTGAAAATGTAACGTCCGCAATAGAAAAGCTTCTAAACTTGGTGCCATTTAATGCAGGTAGTCTAGTCATATGGGGATTTTATGCGGTTTTGAGAGCGGAACTTTTTTTCTCACCTGATCCTCATCTATCTCTAGAGGGTCCTCAACGAGAATCCAAAGGAGGGGTTCCTTGCGATTTGGGCCGAAATCGGCCCCTCCACAAAACTGAATAATCTTTGGATATTTGGCAGTTGACGGTGCATGTATGACGGATATGACGGAAATAATCGAGTTTTGCCTATACTCACGTTTTTCGGCTCCGAAACAGGGGCCTAAACATAGCTCTGTGGCCTAAAATAGCTGAAATTTCACGTTTTCCGCGGTTCTACCTCAGATTTCGACCAGGGCCCAAAGGCGACGGGTGATGAGCTTCGAATATGGTGTCTGGGACACCTAGACACGTAACATACTTACACATAAAAAAATCAGTCGATTTGACCGGGCCCACTTTTCTCATACGGGTGGACCGTCATCCGTTCTTTGCGTTCTATCTATCGTCAGGGAGAGAGTCTGATTTAACAGCACTGTTCACAGCTGCACTATCTATGCAGTGATAATAGCCTTATCTTAATACAATGACAGGTTTCAGTGCCAAGAGAAGAGTATGTACGAGGAAGGTATCAAAGAAGCTGCTATATTGATACCAGAACTGTCAAAATAGAGGTGGAATCTACCTAAAAAGTGAGGTAAGATCTACTCAATGAGAGCTTCTAAATTCCTTTTAGACGGGACGCTTTGCGGCGATAGCCCGAAGTAGAAATGATCGACTCTCCACGCATCATGACTCCAGAGGTGGGCATGCAACGTAAGGAGGTTGTCCCAGTAAAACTGAGTTTTCTCACGAACCCCAGGACCGATTTACCAAAACTAGGGCTTGTTTTAAAGCTTGAAGTATGCCTCATATATACGTTTTTACCGATTTGATCAATCTATTTTCGTTCGGAAAACAAAAGGTAGGAAACTTTACTTTTTGGATGACCCTCGTATTACCTATATTCCTTATTCAAAGATCCCGCAGGCTTATTTATCATAAGTGTTTTATTAACTCGTCCTTCTATTTCTCTCTGTAAGATTGCTGCACTTTTAAATAATTTTCCAGTAATTTATTTGTTCTAGTCATGATCTATCACTATCGTGCTGATTATGCACTTGGTTTTTTTAAAACCTATTTCTCAATATTTCTCTGAACAGTAACTAACTTAATTTGAAGTTGAAGCTGTTTTTATCAGGATGCATTGTAGCTGATAATTTTACCTTGGTTTTCCCCGATCACGTTGATTTTTAGACTTCGATGATAGCTATTTCGATATGTTTACGATCATTATCAGGTCACTCCACTAAAAATTCTGGATGTGCATTATCCGTAAAACGTACATCACATGGTAAAACACTAAATTAAAACTTATTAAAACATTTGTCGGATGGCGGGTGCACCCTACAAATGTTTTAATAAGTTTTTTAATATTAGTGTTTTACCGTGTAATGTACGTTTTACGGATGTCGCACATTCAGAATTTTTAGTGGAGTGACCTGGTGATGTTCGTAAGCAGATCGAAGTAGCTATCGTCAAAGTCTAAAAATCAATGTGATCGGGGAAAACCAAGGTAAAATTTTCAGCAGTAACTAACTGCCATTAACAGACGTTTAAAAGGATTATTAGATAGCACAGGCACGTGCAAAGAATTTTTTATGGGCGTGCCATGTAGAGGAAATCCCATGCACGTAGGAACCCTAGGGTCCCCCCCCCCCCTCATTTTCAAGTGAATGACTTCTGAAAGATCTTCCCTGCATATTTTGGTCGTATTTGACCCCTTTGATGCATGATAGAAGTCGTTTTGCTCGTGCAACCCAAGTTCCATAAAATCAGTGAGTGGAATAAATTTTTTTTATTCATTACACATGTTTTTTTTTTTTAAAAAAAAAAGTTTAAAACATTTTTACATTATTGTTTTATTTTATTTAATTCATCATTCAGATCATTGTTGGTTTGTTATATCTTTCAGAAGAAATTTTAGTTTTCTTTATGCAGTTTCCTTTTTTATTGTCAGTGCATAGACTATAATATAAGGTCTTTCTTATTTTTTTCCACAGTTGGTCTTGAATCATATGCTACACGGAGACTATCAAAAGATGCAGAGGTGTCTGCAAAGTTTGACGAGAAACCTCCACCCTATCAACCAAGGAGCAACCTCCCTGCAAGCAGATCGAGTTACCCTCGCTCTCTGTCTAACTCAGTGAGCAGCTCAAATGCTTTCAATCATCAGTACCCTCGGAAATACAAAACAGAGGAACAAGAGAACAGTAGTGCAAACAGTGATAACCCCAACAGTTTTCGGAAAGGTATCCATAGGCACTCATTTCACGGAGATTACAGTAAATACAATGGAAATTTCAACTCTGAGAGTTTAAAGCTGGATGATCTTAACTTACCTATTATACCTGAAATAGGAGTAAGCAAGCAAGACTCAGGATCTAGTAGGTATTCTTCACGGTGGTCAAGTAAAACGCCTGATTCTAGTTCTAACCACTCTGACTCCAGACATAACTCTGAATTTAGGGATGATGATATTACTCCTGTAGCATCACCAGACCCTCAAAGTGAGCAATCATCAAGTTCCTACTTAAGACCCAGAGTATCTGGGATTCCTACTTACCGACGATCCAATTCTGTCAACCGTGAAAGTGATACATGCCGGCATTATCAAAGGTCATTTAGTGTTACGCCTGAAAGGAGCTTAAACCCCCGATTTCTCTCCAATAGACCTACTTCTCGAGCCTCAACTCCAGAGCCATCACCGTTTCCAAGGTTGTCCAAGTTTTTGCCTCCTCCTTCGAACACTCGACAAACTCCTGGGAGGCAAACTCCAGACAGAAAATTACCAGAAGATGCAACACAGAAAGTTACACGGCACCGAAGATACGGTGTCTCTTCTAGTGCTCCTCCTCACCTCCCTCCTACCAGTTCAGCTAGAAAGAGTCCTTGTTCAAATTACTTCGGTTCCTCCAACCATTGCTCTAATTTTGATAAAAATGAAAAATCGAGCAGTTCAAGCAGACATAACTTGAATAATTTTGTTCGTTCGAACTCTTCCAAAAGCTATGCTGATTTAGATGAGAAAGTTTCCAGTTGGCGTGGTTCGCAACGTTCGATTTCCTCTAGTTCCTTCACTAATTTTGGGTATCCATGTAAAGAAGATAAGTCAATAAAATCCAGTTCGAGTACATTTAGTTCATTTTTGGCCTCTTCAGATTCTTCCACTAGCTGCATGATAGCGGAGGGCTTAAAAAAAACCCTGGTAAAAACCAGCTCAGGTAAAATAAACTCAGAAAAGTTAGAAACTTCAAACTCTACTATTAGTGCTGCCAATTCAATGGAATCTAAGTCTTTGTCCAAATCCAATTCATTCAGGTTAAGGCCCCAAGGCTTGAGCAATTCGAGCTCCGTCATCAACTGTGCTACTTTTAATAATGAGAATAGATCTTTGCAAAAAAGTTTTTCCATGAACAAGGTCCATCGAAACCTTCTGAAGGGCTCCTCTGATGTAGGAATCAGTGTGGAAGGAAATGATAGCCGAAAATCTTGCAAAGTAGGCCCCTACTGTAGGAGTTTCACCGCAACAATGTGTGCACCCATCAGTCCTAATGCCGTGAAACAAAGAAGCTCTTTTACCTCTGAAAATTGTTTACCAAAAGCTCCTCGAGAGAAAAAGGCTGAGAACTCTATCAAGACTAAAATATCAGACTCTACATTATCTTCAGTCAAGGGTCTAAGAAAGAAGGAGAAGGATAAAGCCCCTACGCCCATTACAGCCAACATCGAGTCAGAAATAAAGGTTCTCCCAAATCAGAAGTCATCTGAGTATAAACTTGCAAGCCCCTCTAATAAGACTGATGATCTCTTTGATAATATTGCCTCAGAAGAATTCTCAGACTCAAAAAGTATAGGCTCTCAACCTTGTGTTTCTGAATTTTCAAATCAACCTGAGCTGCCAGAAAGCAGAGGAAGAGAGCATTCTGTCAGAGATGATTTCAGTCAACAGAGTGAAATACCAGAGGGCAGCATCACCAATCAAAGTAGCTTCTCTGACTTTTCTGATAGTTATTTGTCGAGCCGAAGAACATCATTCACCTCAACTTTGAATGACTCAACAGGAATGAGGACAAGACTGGACAGTGAAAGAAGAAACGAAATAGTAACAGCAACTAAAGATGACCATTTCAGCCAACAAGAGAGTCCCCCGAGTAGCGATGCAGTTGAGACTATCAGAGGCCTATCCCAAACAAGTCGAACAGACCTTTTGACCAGAGGGAGAGAGGATCAATTGGTATTAAAAACAGCTACTAGAACCACACGGAAGCCTCAAAGTGTGTATGATACTTTGAAATCAAAGGTTGAAATGTCGGCAGCTGATAATGGATTAAACCTTACTGCGGATGTTCAAACTTACTCTCAGGGAAATACCAACGCTTTTCAAAGTGAAAAAAGTGAGAAAAATTGTATCAGTGAGCATTCTCAGTTCTCTCAAATCCGTCGGTTCAGTGAAATTTTTCCAAGCAATAATAGTGTATTGGGGCCAAGTGAAGAGGGTAGCAAGAAACGAACTCACCATTTTCTTGAGAGTAAGATCAACAAAATGGGCAAGGCAGTTTTGAATTATGAATTTCATCGAAGAATAATGAGCCCTAGCTATCAGGAAAAAGGAGGTGGTAATTGGATTCAAGACTCAAATACCTCTAGGTTTTTGAATCCATATTTAAGGAGGTCCCCTTCAAGACCACGTCAAGTTGAAGTGAATAGTCATGAAAACGGAATAGCTACTCCTTCAGTTGAATCTTCTTCTGCCACTTCAGTGAAAAAATCTGCCTCTAGTTCTTCACTCAGAAGAGACTCAGTAGGGGCCTCCAAAAATTCCAAAGATTTAAAAGTAGGTTTGCCGAAAATAATGTACCACAGTGAATTATCAGGCTATGATGAGACATCATCAATAATATCTCCCACCGAGGATGGAAGTGACACTTGGTCAGCCAGCTCTGACTACACAGACGCTCTAGAGTTCCTACCTTCTAGTGGAAGGAGTCATTCTTGTCCATCTGGGGAAGAGTCTGTAAGCGATAGGATCAGGAGAAAAAGTTATTACACCCGTTTCAACCCTCATATCAGCAGCCGCAGATTTCTAACTTCTACACTGAATTTTACCAACACTCTTCGACCTGGTTCTAGACTTCCATCTTACTCAAGATCATTTTCGACAGACATGACGCAGTCTTTGAATAAATTTTAAAGGAGGAGTCAAGGGCCTTCAATAGCCCCACTTAGACCTGGCTAAATGATTGATAATTTGGAAGTACCAGCCCTGGACGGACATCATGCCAAATATTTATGAGGGGCCGCAGTTGTGCCCCCTATCCAAGTCTGCAAATGAAAAACAATTATTTTGGCAACTGTCTCGACCATAATCACCCATTCTAAGAAAGAAGCCTGAGAAATTTTTTTTTGTCCAATTCATATTTAATCTACAGAAAGCTCAAGCTTTGCCGTTTGCATTGATTTTTACCAATCAAACAGTACCAACAATTTTTATGATTATTTTTTTATATTCCTAAATAAATTCAATGAGATAGAATCTAGGTACAATATTCTGCTTCTCGGCTACGTGATATTTGTGAAAAGTCAACATGCAATTGGTTCATGTCCTTACATTCGATCTTTTTTAAGGTTTAGTGATATTACAAGCCTCTTGAATCCGCTGTAAAAATGGAGGTTCCTCCGAAGGAGGGCTGGTGATAAGGGCCAATTTTTGACACTCCCTCCCTTCCCCTCCAAAATCTGGAAATTCTGCATACATTACGAGTTAACAGTGAAATTCACGAAAATAGCTATGATTTGGGCAATATGACTCTCGTCACCTAGTGAATAGTTGCTCAACAGTAGGCGTGACTGCGTAATCTGGCAAAAATTCTTTTTTTTCATAATTTATTAGCCCTTTCCTATCAGGATTATAATTTAAAGAGCTTGATGCAAAAACGGCTTTTTTCGCCCCCCCCCCGGAATTTCTTCAAACTTTGTGTATTGATTCCTCATACCTTAGCACTTCCTTTCCCATTTTTTGGGAAAAAAAATTTTTGGGGGGAGGGGTGGAAGTTGAAACCTGTGAACCTTGATATCTCTCCAACGAAGAATGATATCGAGATCTGGTTTGGACGAAAAATCGTCTAAAATTGCATACTTTCAAATTCTAAACGTCAAAATCCCGAAATCACATTTTCAAGTTAACATATTTGATTTTTCAGTTTTTAAGTCGAGAAAATTCCTTTTAAACAAAGGATACACAAAGTATTCAATTTTTTATTTGACTGAAAACCAGGTTTAAATTGTTCGTCTCTTTCTGCATCCAACGAGTGGCCCATTAAGCTGGGAAATCAAAGGGTTCAAGAGTTATGGACGATTGAGGATCGCTCTACGCACGCCGATCGATTTTCGTGCACCAGACTATGGTTCCAAAGCCGGATTTGGGTGTTAATATACAAACTGAATGTTCAAACCGTGCAAAATAAATTTTTAGGGATTCTTTTGAGGGTTACTAAGTTCAGAAATTACAGGTGCTTCCAAAAAATTCACTTTCGAAAATTAAAGCTTCAGACGGCCCACTGAGTGCCGACCGGTCATTGCTCGGTGGGCCCTTAAAGTAGTGCTCTGAAGCTTTAATTTCAAAAAAGTGAATTTCTTGAAAGGGTTCAAGAGTTATGGACGATTGAAGTTTCTGCTCTACGCACGCCGACCGATTTTCGTGCACCAGACTATGGTTCCAAAGCCGGATTTGGGTGTTATTATACAAATTGAATGTTCTAACCATGCAAAATAAATTTTTAGGGATTCTTGTGACGGTTACTGAGTTCAGATATTACAGGTACTTCCAAGAAATCCACTTTTTTAAAATTAAAGCTTCAGAGCGCTACTTTAGTGGCCCACCGAGCAATGACCGATCGGCGCTCAGTGGGCCATCCGAAGCTTTAATTTTCGAAATTGAATTTTTTGGAAGCACCTGTAATTTCTGAACTCAGTAACCCTCAAAAGAATCCTTAAAAATTTATTTTGCACAGTTTGAACATTCAATTTGTATATTAACACCCAAATCCGGCTTTGGAACCATAGTCTGGTGCACGAAAATCGGTTGGCGTGCATAGAGCGGAAACTTCAATTGTCCATAACTCTTGAACCCTTTGGTTCCCCAGCTTAATGGACCACTCGTTGGATGCAGAAAGAGACGAACAATTTAAACCTGGTTTTCGGTCAAATAAAAAATTGAATACTTCGTGTATCCTTGGTTTTTGTAACTTAGGAAATAGTAGGAATCAAAAGAAGTTGCCTTATGTACACACTAATAATGGTGGCTCACACAGGATGATCCAAATCACCTTGCAATGGCTTTTTTATCGCTTAATCTAGGTTTTACCAAAAGAAAACCGGGGGAAGGGGGGGAGATGAATAGAGAATCGTTGCCAAAAAATCCAATTTCTTTGGTTCCAAGGCTCAGGTCACCCTGGCCTCCCTTTGTGGATGATTGGGGAAGGGGGGGGGGGTCAGTGGGCTAGAAAATCGGAGTTCCCGAAATCTTTTTGCAATTTTCTCATCTAAATCAGATAGTGGAATTAATCTCAACCGAAATTGACAGTCTATAATCAGCCTTGAACTATATACAGTTTCAAGGGATGTTGCCCCTTTCTATGACATACTACTTGGTTGCAAAATTGATGTACAGCCTCTGGCCGAAAACTGTTCTGCAGGTAATCGACCCCAAGCAATCCAAACTTCATGGTCTTAAGGCTCCCAAAAATAATAGGTATCTCCGGTACAGATACTAATAGGTATGAAACACCGAATTTTCAAGTCCATTCCAAGCAAATTAAAGACTAGTGTAAACATGCACTATCCGAAGTAGTATAACTGATTCTTCCCTGAAGGAGCAAATATAGCTAGCAAGCTGCGATTTGCCCAGTCTGTAAAAGTATGTCACTTGTCGGCTTTCAAACAAATCTACAGAAGCTCCTTTAGTTAAAAGTTTGACGAGGCATGACGAGTTTAAGATCGTTTGTTGAGGGAACTTTTTGACAGTTTTGGTACACCTCGAACACCTTCTTATGCAAATAATAGTAATAATCATTCAAAAAAGCCTCTTTATGGAAATGTAGGAATTCTGAACAGAGGAAGTTATCTCTGAAGGCTTTACAAGTCACACTTTGCTTGCTATAATTCTTGGCCTGTAGGAGGTCTCATCACTTTTGAAAAAACCGATGCAAATACAACTATTCTCTCATACGTTTTATTCTTTTGGCCTTAAAAAGTTACGTGGATCCTACTTTATTAAAAGGAACATTTAATTTTGAAAAAAGAACTTATTTTTTTATTCGCATTCCATCAGAATGCTAAGGTTTTCTCTTTCCTATTTTTTGATCAGATTTGTTCAGGATAGTATCTCAAGGTCACCTTTGAAACACTGGCAGGTACATCCATGAAAGAATGTTTTCTTGTATCGTTCAAAAAGCATCCATGTTTTGCAGGCTTCATTTTCGTCTATGAAAGTTCTAAGCAAGCAGCAAGCTACATTCTCTCTTTACTTTTAACTTCTAATTCCTTAACCATTACATCAAGATGGACTGACAGTCAAAATTATTCAAATGTTTACTCAGCCTTTTTTATAGACTGATTTAGTGGCTACGTCCTTCGATTTAATATCCAACTGTTGGTTCAAATGTAAACAAACTCATAACCTTGTTTCTGATTTGCGCCATGATGGTAAAATGCGTCCAAGTGTTACTTACAATCGAAAGAACCCCGCACCATCCTTATGGGAAATCCCCTCCCCCGGTCAAATCTGATGAAACTTTGATATGTTGCTCAGCTAGTCATTCTGATCAAAAGCTATAACGGGCCGAAAGAGATCACATGTGCCGTTTTCGAGATATTCGCCGTTTTATATGCGTGAACAGAAGTCCCGCCGGCTGGACCATTGTGCGGCTCTCCTCGGACCCTTCCCTTCCAGTCCACTCCGGCCCCTCTCCGCTTCCCCGCGATCGATACCCGAGGCTTGGAATCCGACGCTCACGAGGCTTTCCTCATCGTCACCGGCGGCCCGGGCAGAGACCTATATGTTAAAAGTTTCTTATTTAATCAGTTCATCGTTCAACACCGTAATGGGCCGGCTTTGCGTTCGCGTTATGGAACCCGAACGGAAAAGGCTCCTAATGAGTTTGGGTTTTCGATCGTGAACCGTTCGCGGAAAGGTCTCGGTCGGGTTCTCGATCCCGAACGCATTGTCAATCGAATCGGTTCGAAATTCGGAACTTGAACTAATAAGCGGCCGACTGCGTTCGAGTTCAAATAACTCATACCAAAGACCTGACCATTGCTATCAGTTCAGCTATACTAATGCCATAATTCATAACGCCGCTTTTCGTTATGCGTTACAGACCTAGAACCTCGCCCAGCTCCGTAGCGTTCAGAGTTCCTCTATGCTGTGCGGCCGTTGATGCTTTGCACCCGTCGTCCCTCCCCCTCGTCTCTCACCCCACTTCACGCTGCCCGCGGCCCGCTGTTTTCCTAGTGCATGCCGCGTTTGGGTCTTTGGGTGGATCATCTTTTTACCTGTAGACATTTTTATTAGGACTGTTTTCGTTCCCACCCCCCTTAACTCGTTCAATTCCGCTTAAAAATGACTCACTGCCAGTGAAAAAAATTTGCTTGATGGGAACATTCTAAGCTTTGCCTACTCGAGGGTTTATAGTCGCTTATACCCAAAATAATGGTTCACATGGAGGGACATTAAAAAAGCTTTGCAAAAAAATCATTTTTGTCCTATTGACTTAAATTTCTTGGGTGCTTGGCATCTACTTCTTAAGGAAGAATGCAAATATGATAGCCATTTCTTGCTACGACATCAGGTTTTTTTTTTAAAAAAAATTGAAAATCGCGATTTCGTAATGAAAATTCAAATTTCACAAAACCATCCGTGTACTTGGAAAGGAGCAAGACAGTATGTAAATAAGACACCATAAAAACATCAGTTGCATGTAAATATAATATCGAAGGCTGAAGTACAGAACCCTTCATCTCCTTTGCTGTGTTTCAAAATATTTGCTCCCATTTTATTTTTTTTTGAAGAGAAATAAGCCAACCATAATAGCTTGAAATTTCTAGGGAATATGCTGCTTATGGAGAAGAAAAATCACGGCAGTTTCCGAGGCATTGAGTTGACTAGTTTTTCAATTAAAAATCAAGTATATAAAGAGAAGTCTGCAACGTCGCTAATGGACATACGTGGTTTCGCACTTTGGCCATCGATATGGCTCAAAACATTATTCTTCTTCCTTTGATTATGCATTTTCTTCGAAAACTCGGTCACATCACTGGGTACAAGAGAAAAATGATTGCAGAGGAAGAATAAAGATACGAGAAAATAGAAGTAAAACAAAATGTTAACATCAACCGCTGTTTGTTGCATCATACTAAATTGAGTCAACGAACAGTTTAAAGAGCCGTATGCAAAAACGACATTTTTCGCCCCCCCACTAAAACTTATTCAAACTTCGTCTATCAGTTACTAATACTGAAGCGCTTCTTTCCCCA